CCTAATGAGAAGCCTATCCGAGATCCGATGGGGAGCAAAGAGAGCTGTGCTATACAGAGCTCAAAGTGATGCAACATTTTTTACCATCATGGTGGTTATGGTCGTTATCGGGCGACCGCGGGACAATCCCGCACACGCAGGAATACGCTAGCGACTTAAAGCTTCGGCCATTTATAATGTCAGCAAAAAGCGGCAAAAAACAAACAAAATTATTGAAAGCGTAAGCGCAGCCCAACGCAAAATGCAATGCACACGAGCACACGTTTTCTCTCGTTCGCCCAGCAAGGCAAAATCCCAATGTTGATTTGATAGAAAAGGCTATGCACCCTCGAAACACCTCTCATAGACCAATCACTTCGCCTATGAGAAGCGCGAGCTGACGTAGTGCAGGAAAAGGTGCGCTACACAACACACCAACTCAAAAATCACAATTATTGCAAAACCACACCCCATCGCGCTCTTCGCAAACCGCTGGTCCTTTTCCTCAGGCGAGTACAACATCCAATGGCCATTTTTATAGTCAAAGACGCCGCGTGAGTGAAAAAGCCGTCGACATCAAACGACTTGTTTTTCAACCGACAAACCTATATCCCCCGATGCGCGAGGCAAAATTGTTTGCAGTGCATTGCACCGAGAATTCTGCAGACTATTTGTAGCGCGGCAACGGCCAAAAGCCCCAGGCCGGTAATTTCCATTAGGGTTAGTACAACAGGGGGAGAGCACACGCCGCGGCGCGCAGAGACACACACACACATACATACATACACAGACAGAGACCCTGAACACTTGCAGCGGGGCCCGCACCAAAACGCTGCTGTCAACGCGCTTTGGAGGCGGGAAGGGAGAGTAGTACTACTCTGTGCTACTGTCGCAAAAAAAAACCGCCGCCGCCGCCGCCGCCAACGCTGCTACCGCTATGTCGGCGGCACTGCGCGGAGTGCGCCGCAGCGAGGCATGTGTGTACGTCATGTTGTGCGTCCACATGCCGCGTAACGCCAAGCGCCCACGCCCACGCGCACACACGCGATCCGCCGCAGGAAAAAACTTTTATACTCGCACACCACAGCAAGATGCGAAAAGCGCACGAGCGCTGCTGCTGCTGCCGTAACCGTCTGTTTAGGCTTTGCGCATCCGCGGCCGCTGCTGACGCTGCCATGGCTACCGTAGCCAGCCACCGGCACCAACAGAGCTATGATGGGAGGAGGAGCAACAGCAGCAATCATGACGTCGAAAGAGACACAGTGGCATCACTCAAAACCGTGCCCCCGGTGATGCATGCGGCAAAGCAGGACATTCCTCCCACACACAACCAAAATTAACACTGAAGGCGCCCCAGGGCTCTCGTCCCTTCCGTCACTTGGCTCCCTACACCTCCCCCCACCACACCACCACTACCGCCTCTGACCACGTCTTGGCTACCTCTTTACCCCACCTCCTTGACGCTGACGAGCAGCGGGGAGAGCAGCAGCAGCAGCAGCAGCAGCAGCAGCAGCAGCAGCAGCAACAGCAGCAGCAGCAGCAGGAGGCGGAAAGACGTTTCTTCTGCCGTGCCCGGTAACGCGAGCTGCCGCCCCCACCTCCCCACATATGCTTCAAAGCCGCAGGTAAGGCGCAGTAATGGCGATGGTGTGCAAAGAGCAGGAGCTTCAGGGGCCGCGCCAGGGCGCGGGAAACCCTTTCTCAGGAAGAGCGTCAAGAAGACCCGTCTCATGCCGCACGGGCTCCTCCTGCCCGCGGCTGTCCCGCCCACCCTGAACACTGCCTTCCTCGGCCCACTCGGCCACCCCCCGCAGGCCCCCTTCCCTCTCTCTCTCTCTTCCCCCCTCTCCACATCACGCAATGCACTCCGATGGAAGACCAGTGCAGAGGAGTGTGTTGTCTTTTGCTGTGCGGACCCCGGCTGCCGTTAGTCTTGTTGTTGGCCACCACACGGGTCGCTGAGCTGTCAAAAAAGACACGAACAAAAACACACACGCAATACACACACCACGCGCAGCCCTTGTACAAAAATCAAAAGCTTTAGGAATTAGGCGGCGCTGCAGTCAGCAGAGCAGCTGTGGCGCAGCAGCCGCCATATAAATTGTAACACACTGCAAGTTCGACCTTCATGCGCCCCGAACACGTCCTTCCGCTACACCGACCGTATTCCTCGACCCCGGGGGAAGGGGGACAGCTCCGAAGCCCCTGTCTGAGGGCAAGCAGGGATTCCAAACGTCACCCTCGCTGGCGTTGCTGCAGCCCTCCTCCCCCATCCTCCTCTGCCGCCTTCCCTCGCGGAAAACCCCCTACTCACCCCCTTCTGCATCCCCCCCTCCTCCCTCACACACACACACACACACACACACACACACGCACACTCGCTTGCAAAGGCCCACACGGACATATGAGGCAGCCGCGATTGCAACATTTCGTTGAGAGGCGCTGAGAGGTGCACGCGGTGGCACCACCACCACATCCCAGACAAATGTAGGCTATCGACAGTCTCTCCTCCCTCCTCTCCCTCCCTCCTCTCTCGTCTCCTCCGTCCATGTTCCTCGCACGCCCTCCCTCTTTCCCCTCTCTCCCCGGGGCCAGGAAAGCGAAACACACCTCCGCACAGGGAGCCGCCGGCCCCTAACCCGTGTGTGCATGCAGGATCTGGAATACGACACCAGCACTCAACGGGACATGGAAGGTGCCCAGCAGGCAGCTAGAGGGGGGGGGGGTAGCGACACAGCCGTAAACGGCTCCACGCATTACTCGGACCACAAGCTGTCGCCGCACGTGGGGGCCCCTCTCCCCTTTTCCCCCCCCCAGAAACTCCCTCTTTCCCCCTTTCCCACTATCGCTCAACAGCCATACATCCCCCTCCTCCTCCTCCTCTCCTCCACCCTCGCCCGAGATGTGGTGCCGTGTGTCATGAGGCGGGGATAACAACACACGACAACATACGCAGCAGTGCACATACACACACACACACACATATGAAGACGATGAGAACCACGGTCAGGTGCGGAAGCGCGGGCGCCATGCAGCAGCTACGGAAGGTGGCGTACGGAAAGGTACGGAAGGTAAAAGAAGGCTGCGAACCGGACTGCGAACCGACAGGTCAACTCTTGTTGACACCGGAAACCGCGCAGTGCTCCCAGGCAGTCAGTCAGCGCGGTGAAGCGGCGGATGGGGGAAGGGAGAAAGGGGAGCGCAACCCCGAAGGATGCTGCTGCCCTCCCCCCCCGGTCGCCCCAATTCGCCAATTTCCACCCCTTACCCCTTGCCTTGGTGCCCTCCCCAGGCTGACCGCCACCCGCCCGCTTCTACCCTGGAGCATGTCGGGGGAACACTCACATCAGTCTATTTTATAACTTAGGTTAGTTCTCTCTCTCTCTCTCTCTCCCCCCCCCCCCGGGGGGCGAGCTGAACCCCTTCACCCGCCGTTTTGGCCAGCTAGGAGGTTCGTCGGTTCATCTGTTGCACTGACAGAAGTACGCAGGAACAGGGCCAGCGGCACACTGCATGTGGAACATACATACATACATTCAGACCGACGATTAGTGATTCTATACGGGCCGCGACACAAGGGGCAGACAGACAGACAGACGGACGGACGGACAGGCAAATGGAGCATCTCTCCCACATCAAATCATTTATCATATACTCACGGAGAGAGAGAGAAAAAACTCAATATACACAAAAGCGCACACGACCGACCACCGACCGGGCGGTACCTGCGAAGCAGGGGCTTGCCTCCTCGTATTTAAGCGGGCAGGCAGCCGCACCGGCATCAACACGTTTAGGTTTTGGTGAGGGCGCATTGCCGACCCGCCCCGGACCAGAGCACAGCGGTGCGGGACAGGCAAAAACATAGCCGTTCGTGCAGGCAGTGGCATGACCCTACATAGATGCTAATAGATAGATACGACAGCTGAGGTAATAGCTGCTTTAGGCAACGAGCGATAAGATACGGACGGAGCCCCTCTTCATTGTCGGGTCAACAAGCTCCAAATCAATAACACATCCAATTGCTGCTGCTGCACACGTATAAACGGACACGCAGACTGCGGACTGACTGACTGACAGAACGACACATTTTACACACAAAAAAACATTGATTAGGAAGGCATATATACGCTCGCACAAAAGCGTGATATGCCAGCTGACGCGTTCTCTGTGTTAAGAAGGTCTGTCTTTTTTGCCCACTGCGTAGGTAGTACAATACAAGGCATGCACATACATACATACATACACACACAAACACACAAAGCTTCTCCCCCCAACAAACGCACACACACACACATCACAAATATCAGGCACAAACACAGCAATAAGCTTTAGGAATGTGTGCTGCCTCTTCATTCGCACTGGCCGTAGAATAAATTATTATGCACGCATGCACACAGCAACCCGTAAAACCGTACAGCAGCCGTCCAATCCAAAGGCTTTGCGGAGAGGCAGGAAAGCACAGAAAAAGGGGCAGAAGAGAAATCGATTGAGGTAACGCCAGCAGCTGGGGCAAAGCAGCTAGGTCGGCAGTGAGGTGACGGGGCGGACGGCCCCTACCCCCAAAGCATCTAATTACAAAGGCCATCACAAGAGTCGCCGCTCTGTCGCCGTCGACGACTCCACTTCCCCCAACGGATCCCTCGCCACGGCCCCCGGGACCTCCCCCCTTTTCCTTTCGCCACCTCCTTCCTCCAAATCGCCAAAGACGCGACCGTCCGCGCACATGCGCTGCATCTGCACACTTGTATGTATGTATGTATGTGCACATACACGCACCCCTAATCTCCGGCACACGCAGTACCTCTCCCCGACGGCAACCCCAGCATGCAACCACACACGCTTGGCGGCCGCGAGCCGGGTATCACACCGGGTGCGTGTGCTCTGCACCCAACAAGCCTATTAGCGCGCAGGTGTGATTCGCCTCTCCCATACACACATACATACACACACATGTACACCATTCTTCGTTCCCAATGATGCGGTCCGCTGTACATTAACGGTATTAACCGCCATCCGGGTGGTCAGGTGGAGGGGAGGAGGCCCTCCCGGGTTTCGGAAGCACCCTTTTCGACCTTCCAGCCCAACCGCAGGCTGAACCCCCTTCCCCGGTGAGTGCCGCGGCCGCAAAGGGGCTGCGAAAGGGGGAGAGAGAGCGCGGGAGGGCGGGGTCCGCAAAGGACGGTTCGTGGACAGATGTGTGGTAGAATTTGTGGCTGACAACGTGGCAAGGGAGGGGAATCAACGAGGAAAGCCGCCGGGAGCTTCTTCTCACTGGCGGCGGCGGCGGCAGCAGCAGTAGCAGCGGCTGTCCAGCCAGCCCGTTCGTCACTCTGGGCCCCTCACTGTCTCCACCGTGCGTCCGTTTGTCCGTCCACTTCGCATCCGAGTGGTCCTCCCTCCACAGGCGTGTGTGTGTGTGTGTGTGCGTGGGTGGGTGCGTGCCGCTTTCCTCAATCGCACGATTGAAGCAGGCGAAACGTTTCGGCGTCCAAAAGGTGATCCCTGTACAACCATCAGCATTGGCCAATAAAGAAACGCAACGGGGTTATCAGCAACAAGGTTACTGACAGCAGCAGCAGCAGCAGCAGGCGGAAAGGAAGGTCTAATGCTGAAGATGACCGCGATTAAGAGGTGTTGGTGACAGGGCCACAATCGGGCACTGTCGAGTGGAATGGCTACTGCTTCTAATGCCTCCGTTCTTTGTATTCACGTTTGTATTTGCATATGTATGTATGTATGTATGTATGTATGTATGTATGTATGTATGTATGTATGTATGTATGTATGTATGTATGCATGCTACATACAACCGGCTGTGGCAAGTCCCTGGGCCAACCGGCTCCGTGTCCTATCAACCCGGGAACAGGACGTCACTGGACAGCAAGGGACATCTGTACGGGGCTGCAGAAAACCGCTCGACGCGACCCCCACCCGCCCAGCAGCCCCTCCCCTCCCCTCGCACGGAATTTCGTGACTAGATGATTCCCGTGCGGTGTTCAAACCCGGGAGACTGCAGGTGCAGATGATGAAGCGACGATGGCACGTGGACCCAACCCCACCGACTTGATGCATGGAAAAAAACACAGAAGCTGTCGGGGGCAGTAGCTGCCCCCGGGACCCGTTTTTTTTGGGGGGGGGGAGACAACACTGTGGGGGGGGTTGTAACACCACTATCACCACCACCGCCGCCACCGCCGCCAGTAGCACCGACCTGTGGTGTTCGTCTCCTGGGTGGCTCTGATTACTCGAAAGACCGTTCACCAGCTGCCCCAGCGCCACCTTGCCGCCACCAACACTGCCACCATGCACCTTATCGTGGGGTTTGAGGGAAAAGGGGAACGAGCGATATGTAAAAGCTTAAATGGGAGAGCAGCGGCGTGTCAAGCAATGCAATGCAGGGCAGGCAAAAGGCAGCGCGGGAATACTACACATGACACCGTCTGAACACAGCGGAGATTTTAACCGCAGAAAAAGCCGTTCAGTCCCCAGCCTGTGTCGCCGAAACACTACAGTGCAGTACAGTACAGTACACGATACATGCAGATACAGTTGTACTGGGAGCGTAGCTGTCCGGTACATATTGATCAAGACCAGGATTCCTTCGTCCCTTTCCCATTCCCCCAGATAAAACAACGCAGCCACGGGACACCGCTGGCCGCAGCGACGGGAAAAGCGCCCCGGGGAAAGCAATGGAGGTGGAGGTAAAGAGCTGGAGAAAACCCGAGGACGCCTGCCAGCAACGCGCCGTGGCCGGGGGAACTGGGCGTCCAACCCGATTCCCCTTCCGCTTTCGCGGCCTTTCCATCCACCAAGAATACGCCTCTCGCAAACGGACTCTCTCTTCCCCCCCCTCTCTCTCTCTCTCTCTCTCTCTCTCTCTCTCTTTCTTTCTGTCTCTTTCTTTATTTCGCAAACACAACTACCCCACGGCAGCCGTGTAAGACCGGTCCGCTGCGGCCTTACACGCGGATCATCGGATTGGCTCTAACAATACACATCACCCCACCAACGCGGCCATGTGAGGCCGTGCATGTACACATGACCGCCATGGGACGCTGCACAGACAGACAGACAAACATCAAGAACGACCCCACAGTGCACGGCGTACAGTTCCATCATACATACATACATACATACATATACGCATATGCTTAAAAACCTATTTTCAACCCTCTACAGAAAGGGGAGGCACGAAGTAGAAACACTCATCCCATCATTCGGACCGCTGGGAGACTCCCCATGTCGCGCGTAATGATGCCATCACAAGAAGATTACTTTGTGAATAGCGTTACGGGGTTCAAATCGCCTCCACCTCAACCAAACCTTCATAACCATCGAGGTAACACTCAATGGGCCGGTCCGCGCTTTGCGTGCATGGACACGTCACGCATGGACGCGCTGCACAATGCACACCGACGCAACCAACGCCGCCACGACTCCCTCTACCCCTCAAGAGCGGTGTGTCCGTAAGACAACACGCCCAGCCCTTGCAAGATCCCAACTTACGTCTTTTTCAGACCGAACCCACTTCCATAGTCCGCTTCCTGTCCCTAGTTTCACTTCCGACCGACAAAGGGGCGCTTCCAGACAGATTGAAAATCAGAATCTTTCTGGCATCGTGTGGGCTGAAACCCCTTCATGTACCGTTTGCTCGCTATACCGAGAACAAGGACAGATTCGCCGTGTGGGCGGGACACCATGCCTTACAGAAAACCCTCAAAACCCTCGAAGAAGTAACACAGTGAAATGAAGCACGCACATATGTAGACATGTATGACGTCCGTACGCGCGGCCATCTGCTCACCAGGTAGGGTTCCGGCCCCGGCTCGTGCAGGTGCCCGTCCAGCAACAGCTCCGTTTTCAAGTTAATGACCCCGGACTGCCCCTGCTGATGCTGATGCTCATGGCGCTGCTGGTGAGGCTGTTGCTCTTCGCCCGCTGCGAGCACCGGCGTCCCCACAACACTCTCCTCACCCGGCTGGTGGTGGTGCTGCTGCTGAGAGGTCACTGCGGCTGTCGTCGTCCCCTCTACCACATGGCTGCTGGTGCGGTCAAAAGGGTGCGACAGGGCACCGTCGGCGTCGCCGCCGCCAACCCGGCCAGAGGAGCTCGGCCCAGGCCCTGCCGCCGCCGTCGCCGCTGCTAGTCCGCTGCGCTCCCCACCGTTACCCCCCGGCTCCAACACCTCCTCCTCCTCCTCGTCACCGTTGCTCCACTTATGAAGGTGTATCGTGGCCATCGTCGGGAGCTCGTCGGGGACCCCAAAGAGCAGTTGCATGAGATCCCCGTCGTCTGAGTGGTCGTACAGAAGGTCCGCATCCAATCCGTTGTCAAGACCCAGGCCAACTGCTGATAGATTCTTGTCCAAGCGCGTTTGACTCTGCGAGCGAGGCAGCTTCTGGCTGAATTGGGCAAAATTGAAGAGCATGCCATTGGTGCCCCCATTCGCGGCGCTATGGAAGTCAGCCGGCAGGGGCGGCGGCGAGGGAATGCGCCCGAAATCCCTAGTGAACTCCTCCACATCGCCGAATGCGCTGCCTAAGCTGTCGTCGCTGTTCGTCGCTTTAATGGCGGTCTGATGCTGCGAATGCTGTTGGTGCTGCTGTTGGTGTTGTTGGTGCAGCTGAGGGGTGGGTGAGCCGGGAACAGGGAGGACCCCCGCGGCCGCGGCAGCGGTGCCATTACCGCGTGTGGCTGTCGCGGTTGCTGCACAGGCGACGCCATCGACCCCTGCGTCGACGCCTTGCTCTGCTGCAACTCGCCCTGCTAGCTGCTGCTGCCCTTCCCTCGACCCCTCATTAAGAAGCTGCTGGGGCTGCTGTTGACTATTCGGCAAAGCCTGCAACGCCGCCGCAGGCGGTTCTAGCGATGTCGCAACCGCTTGCTGACTTTGAGGGTGCTCCATGTGCGTGTGGGGCTGCTGGTGGAAGAGCACGGGCCCCGTGCCAGGTAACCCAACCGCGGGCATGCCAGCTAGTGGCTGCAGATTTCCATTTGGATTCGGCAGTGAAAGGACCTGCCCCGGCTCGGCCAGGATAGGTCCCGGCTGAGGGTACCCGGGCAGGCTAGGAAAGGGTGGGACCTGCTGCGGATACCCGTGCGCGCCTCCTGGGAATTGCAGCTCTGGGGGAAATTGAGGTTGGACATAGCCCTGTGCGGAAAGCTGAGGAACGAAGCCGTTGAGCTGGCCTGGAAGCCAGCAAGCCCTGTGGTAAATGACCAAGCGCACATCGCGGTCGCAAGAATTAATAGCGGTGAGAAAATGCTTAGGGCGTAGCCGTCGCATCAGGTTATTTTTTGGGAATTGCGCATGCCCAAATCAAAAACGTGTGGCCAAGGTACAAATGGACGCTCTTTGAAGCGCAAGCAACTTACGTCGCCGTCCCATTAGGGCCATAGATAATCCCTGGCTGCATTGTTGTCCACTCCTGCTGCTCCTGCTTCAGGGCCGGCTGCAGCGTCAAAGAATGAAGCGTATGCGACCGGGCGTAATCCGGCCAAGACGCCACGAGTGGCTCCATGTCCACGTCGCCTTTAACATGCTTGGCTAGATGAGAAGACGTTGGCGCTTCATCAGGAAGTTCAGCCTCGCCAGCCTATAGCCAACAGGACCAAGAATCCGGGGCGGTTGGACGCTGAGTCGAAGAAAGGGGAACATCTAATATCAGTCCATAACATGAAAGAATGAGCGGCTGCATAGACCAACGCCGCGAGTTGTCAGGACAAAGCGAAGTGAGTTTGCCAACGACTTGGGATTTTGCAATTGTACCTCTGGCTTGCAAAAATCGTCGGCTCGCAAAGATACTTTTATACCCACCACTCGGGTCCTTTTGTTGGCCTGGCGCGCACTGGTTTTGCTGCCTGAGCACCCGACGTGGTGCTTTCCCGGCTTAAGCGTTTTGCCACACTTTGGGCAGTGCGTGAGCTCTGTGCCATGACCACGCTCCTTGCCGCTGCCTCGAATGTCTGGAGGAGCGCGGAAATGGACCTTTAGGCGCCAGAGCTCCGCGAAACTCCGGTTGCAGCCAGGATAGGGGCAGTAAAAGCGCTCCGGGTCTTTGGCCCCGTCCTTGCCGCTGGTTGGCTGAGTTATAGGGGACGGCGCGATGCCATCGAGCTGCTGAGAGTCAACTGGTGCATCCAACTCCATGGAAAGGCCCTCGCAGCTGGAAAATGGCACCTAGTGCTTTCTGGGCGCGTGCATAGCAGCCCACCTTGTGGCTGGACGAGTGAGCATCGAGCAAAACGTTAATTAGGATAGGTTGCAGCGAAATTGGAGGCTGGATTGCGCTCAGAATATGGCTTTGCCCTTCAGCCATTCGGCCCAATGCTGCCGTACTTGACCACACTCAAGGGTTCAGAGAGCATCGCCGCAGCTAATTTCACTATAGTAAATATTTTTGCTGAAAGAATGTGTAGACTGATTATTGGATCCAGAGTAAGGAGTGTGGCGCGGCGCCACGGCCATCGGCTTATGGATAGCACTGGCGGCGACATATCGTAGGCCCATGCAGGAAGGCGCGCGCTCTACACATGCAGATTACTGCATTCAACATGCTTCTGAGGACCTGGAAACCGTATCCTCTGGACGTGTTCTGCAATCTCCTTACTCCAACGAGCACGCGCTTGCAATCACAAACACATATGGAGTATGGATGTGGCATTGCAATGAGGAACTGGTGTGTTCTTGGCCTATGCCACCGTCTGGCCAGCTCGAAGCGTCCTTGGACATGGCGTCAAGCCATCGGCAAGGCAGTGGCATTTTTTCAAGTGGATCAATTTTTAACGATAGTCGTGGAACATGGCAAGTGTTGCACCGCATGCTAATAAAGCAATGGCTTGGGAACCATCGCATTCATGGAACCATAACTGAAAAAGTTTACCGCATTCCAAACTTGCACCCATGAAACCCCTAGCACGTTTAATGAAGACCGGATCCTCATCTGTTTAATATTACATATCCAAACCTGGGCAGCGTAGTATCAACCAGCCTTGCAAAATGTTAGGCAGTAAAGCCCGATCCGCCTCGCACAGAACCCTTCCTCAGCTAGCCAAACCAACTGTCGCAACATCAGAATTTCTGCATGCGGTCACATCCTGGCGTTGCGTCGCGCCGAAGTTTTCGCCATTCCGGCCATCGTCTTCATCGCCTGTAAACAATGCCCCAACTGCAAGCAAGCAGCCTCTCCGTGTGTGCGTTGTTGGTGGTGGTGTCGTAGGCCTCACATCTGCGTTGCGGCTCCTACAGCTGAATCGCCGGTCCGGCATGCCTGCCCTAGCATCGCAGACCCTGGCAGACCCCGGCGCGGCTACAGGTGTCCCCCAAGCCCTTAGACCCGTGGAAGTTACGGTTGTGGGTTCTGGTTTCGGGGCGGACACCACAACTTCCGGCGCCGCTGGGCTGTGGGGGCCGTACAAACTGTCCGACACCCCAGAGCATCTAATCAATCGCTGGGGGGCCAGCACGTACGACCATCTTCTACAGTTGGCTCATTCCGGTCTAGCTGACGTGGCTGGCGTGTCCATGGTTTCCGTCAACAGGTACCTAAATTACAACACTACACCCATCGCACTTTGTCGTACACACCAGGCCCGCGTATGTTAGATCTCTACTTCTGGGTGCAGAGAGCCACGCTTATCTCTCTCTCTCCACCTCTCTCTCGTCCCTTCAGGGCACGCGTAACGTAATCCCGCAGCGTATGTGAGCCCAACCCTGATTGCTCGGGGCATGCATTTGCCAAGTAAATCAGCGTCCCTGCTTGTTTTTATCTGACAACACAAGCTCGCAACACACAAATATACAGATAATTACGTGTGTACGACCTTTCCGGTTGCTCCTGGCCTCAACCCACACCTCTCTCCCCTGTTGCTCATCAACCCAACGCAACAACCCAGCGCCGTTCTCTCCTTCAACCCCTCCCCCTCCCCCTCACCTTCACCCCAACCAGCCTGTTTCCCAGTCCCCAGGAACCCCCCTTCTGGCGTCACATTCCGCTCAGCTTCAGCCTCATGGACAAGCGCACCCTGGCTGGACTGTCCAGATCTGGATCCAAACTCATGTCCGGATCTGGGTTCCATGCTTCTTGCTCAGCATCTGTCGCAGCAGCGGGCACGGATTTCATGTTGCCTTCAGCCGATCCAATTGTGGATTCGGATCCAGAGCCCTTTCCGTGCAGCTGGGGATATCAATGGAACTCCATTGTGTGCGAGGGCTCCCGCTACTTACCCTGGCTGACAGATCAGGTAGAACAATAAGACTTGAGTCCTGCACAGCAATGACAAAGTATCCACAAGGCTTGTGGGAGCAATGTTTTCGACGTGGGAGCCCCTCGCATGTGCGTGTTTGGGGGGGGGGGAAAGCCCCACCACACACGGGCTGGGGTAGCTGGGGTAGTTCGTGTGGTAGGCCAGGCCCTTGTGAGCAACCCTGACTAACACAAGCCTCCTTCCAGCCAGGGACCTTCGAGTTTTGTAAACCCTTTCTCTTTTCTGGCCCTCGAGAGCCTGAGGCCGCGAGCACCTAGGGCCGGAGGTATTGCCTTAAGGATGCGGCTTGGGGCAGGGCAGTTTTTGCAGCACAGCGACTCCTGCGGATTGAAACAGGGGGGCCCCTCGGGTTGTTGTACGGGGTAAGGGCGCAAGTACGGCTTCAGCGCAACGCTGTTAACTTGAAAACAGTTCATCCATTCATTCATTCATTCACTTGGCCAACTATTCAGTCCGCACACCCCGAGGGGCCCGGGCAGATCTTAGGATCTGCGTGATGGAGATGGCCACACAGCCGGCGTGCCAACCCTCTTTCTCCCCTGCTCTTACCCTCCAACCCGCCAATGAACAAAAATGTATAAACATGTTTTCGTCGGCATCGGCATCGTGCAGATACGCGCCCTGGGTGGTCGGCTACTGCGGGTTTCCTCCCGCCTTGCCTCCCTGGAGCAGTTGAGCTGCCCCGAGGTGCTGGGTACGGCAGCTGCAGCTGACGTGGACTGTGTGGTCAACGCCGCGGGACTGGGCTCCCTGGAGCTCATACCCGATCCCGCGGTGGCGCCCATTCGGGGTCAGGTCGTTAGGGTGGAGGCCCCCTGGGTTAAGGAGGCCTACTTCTACGAGCCGTACTACATCATTCCGAATAGGTACGGCTAGAAGGGGGGAAAGGGAAGGGGAAACCCCGGAGGCCACGCCTGGGGCCCCTACATCATGCACGACGATAAGCTGTCTACAGACATACATACTCCTGTGCTGTCTCTCGCCCTCGTCGTGCAAGCGGCTTCCCCCGCGCGACCACCATTCGCACCGTTTGAAAAGGGGGATTCGCTCCTTGGGGTGAAGAGATTGCGTTGTCTTGCCAGTATGTATGTATGTATGTATGTATGTATGTATGTATGTATGTATGTATGTCGTGCTGTGTGTGTGTGCGCTGTATTCCCTAACCACCACTGCATGTAACTGTGTGCGTGTGTGTGTGTGTGTATTTCCGCCTGTCCGTACATCGTCTCTGGACTTCGCACGCACGTGCGCACAGGGACACTGTCGTACTAGGCGGTACAGGTCAGCGAGGCGACTTCAACCTGTCCGTCTGCCCCAAGGACCGCCAAGACATTCTGGAGGGCTGCTGCCGCCTGCTGCCCTCCCTTCGATCCGCACGTCCCGTAGCCGACTGGGTGGGGCTGCGACCCGGAAGGACGTCTCTCAGACTGGAAATGCAGCCGGAGGGTGTGTGGCTGGGGGGTGGGGCCACGGCAGGTGGTGGAGGAGGAGGAGGGGGACGCGGGAGGGCTGTGCCTGTGGTCCACAACTACGGGCATGGCGGTGCAGGTTTGACGTTAGCGTGGGGGTGTGCGGGGGACGTCGTACGGCTGATTGCGGAGGCGGGGTTGCTGGAGTGAGGGGTTGGAGAGGGCCTTACCCGGGGGGCCCCCCGGGGGGAAGGGGAAGGGGAAGGGGGGGATAATGTACTGCAATCAGCAAATGGCTGTGTCTTCCATTCATAAGCCACTCCGCTGCTGATGTTCTGTTCCTTTGCGCGGACTTTGGAGTTCATGGGTGGGTGGGTGGGTGTGGGGGGGGGAGGAGATATCGGATCCGCGCAATCCTACCTTTAGATTTTTCTGTGGAGAGGATAAGGCGACGGGGGGTTTGTTCGGCGAAGAATATAAAAAACCAAAACAGGAAAAGATGGCGGGCGAGCAAACTGGTATCATCAAAATAAGACGACTCTCACCACAACAAGGGCGATGATCCGTTTGGACCTCCGAGACCACTCTTAGTATTTTAGAAATTAGTTGCTAGCAGTTGGTAATCAGCAGTTGATAGATAGCTCTCGCAAGTTGTAGTTAGCAGTCGAATTGTGTTTAGAAAAGGAGTGTACTCTATCCTGTATGTAGATATGTAATACGTGGAGTGTGCGTTACAGGCGTGATGATGATTGCGGTCTCACGCTTGTCGTACACTACTCCTCTGCCCCTGCGCTGGAACCACCACCGTGTGGTCGCGACGGGAATTCAGGTCATCCCAACCAGATTGAACATTTCCCAACCAAGCTGAAGAGCTGAAGAGCCAACGAAACTGCTGGACGACTTACACACCAGTGCATTAGTCGACGCTCCTCGCAATCCAGCTGAAGGTTTTGAGAGGTTACTTGTCAACTACACAGCGACATGCCGTGCCTTGCAACAGCCAAAAGGGGTGCGGGCGGGCATAACTCTCGATAAACACGGCCTGGGCGGTGTTGTTGGGATTGATCCTCCTGCCGGCCTGGTCTTCGTCTTCTACCCCTCTTCTCGCCTCCACTCGGCAGCCACATCTCAGCGGCATTGGTGCCGGTGACAACGGCGGGGGTACGACATTCCAACTGACAAAATTGCAAAAGTGTTTTGTCCCCCTCATTCAACTGAACTAACCACCACCACGACCCCCCTGTCGCACAGGCGCTCACCCCGCCCCGCCAAACACCTCCACACAACCACATAGCTCGCTCCAGACTCCACCGGCCCTGACCGGCTATAAGGGAAGAATCAAAACTGCCAGTCAGGCATCCAGATGATGCACAACAACAACAGTAACAACAACAACGCAAACCCCTCTGCGGAACTCCTCACAATCAGCTACAGCTGCCCTAACCCTTTCCCCCCTCCCGCTGCAACTCCGGCTGCTGCAGTCGCAGTGATCGCTGTCCCGCGCGAAAGCAAAGTACGGGTGCGGGGGTGGGGTGGGAAAAACGAACCACACACGATAGAAGCTGCTGCCAGGGCGGGGGGGTGGGGGGGTTGGCGCACCTGCTTTTCCCCCTCCCCCGCTTCACTGCGCCACACCTCCCCCCTCAGCAGCCCCCTCCTCACCCCCCTTCACCCCGGCGGCTGTCACCTGCGCGTCCCGGCCCCCCCAGCCGCGGAAGTTCTCCCTCAGAGAGTCCACCGACAGAGTCGAGGGGTGGCTGGCCCCCGAGGTGCCGTACAGGCCCAGAGCCGCCTCGCTGTTCGCCCGGGCCAGCGCCAGCGCCAGCTGCTGAGCCTCCGAAACCCGGGTCTGGTCGGATGACCACAACTTGAGAACAGAGGCCTGCCAGCAGGAGTTAGGGGAGTTAGGGGAGGGTGTGTTTGGAGGCCGGGGAAGGT